ACCATCACTCAATTGACAGAAAGATCTAGCAAACACAAGTTCTCACTGTAGTCTGTTGATTATGAAAGATAATTTAATTCAGCAAAAGAAAATGCAACCTTAAAGTCTCTCCTGAAAAAGGTGCCTCCCATCCATACATGAATATTATTCAAGATTCCTTGAAAGACATAACAACAAAATAACCTCATTCAACTACCCTCAGATCATAAACATTGGGTGAGCCATACAACAGGGAGGCATCTGCTCATCGAAGGCGTTGGCCATTGTGGTGGAGGACATCCAGCACAGATTGTAAGTACAGATTGTGAGCTCCTCGAGCTGCTCGTGTTTGGAGATAGTGGTGTGTTGATTGCATCAAGCCCCAGAACATGGCAGAACCTCTCTGAAGATATTTGTTGCCACCCAAGAGTTTGGTTTAACCATCCACAACAGGAAAAAAGCCGAGGATCTCCAGGGTTACCTAGGGTGTCCTCTCTTGGTTAGGTCCTGAGGCAACATTGGACTTGTTTTCTTTAATACTGGAATTTGCAAAGCAGATGACTTTTTGCTTAAGGCTTTGAGCCATAGAAGGAAGTTAAGAGCTATGCAGTGAGCTGATGCAAAGCGAAATGTACTGTGTACAAAGTAACAGCAATATTGCAACGACTTAGCTATTCTCAGCAATACAATGATCCAAGACAACTCTGAAGGACTTAACGATGAAAAATGCTGTCCATCCCCAGGCAAAGAACTGATGGCATCTGAATACAGACTGAAGCATACTTTTTTACTTTTGTTATTTTTCTTGAGGGTTTTTTTTTTTTTTTGGTCTATGTTTTCTTTCACAACACAACTGTTATGGAAATGTTTTACATGACTACACATATATAACCTATATCGAATTGCTTGCCTTCTCAGTGAAGAAGCAAGAAAATTTGGAACTTTAAATTTTAAAAACAAATGTTAAAAATTGTTTTTACATGTAACTGGGGAAAAATAAAATACTAAATAAAATTTTTAAATGGGAAAAAAGAGCTACATAGGCAAGCCTTTGAGGAGTTTCTTCTCTCACGAGCTATAGATAATGCTAGAGAGCAAGGCAGCATTTCCGTCAGATGGTTCTTTACCCATAGTAGAGAATTCTCTTCTCTTCCAGTTAACTCTTTCAAACAACAGAGATTTCCTCCAATCAGATCATCTCCCCACATCAATAGCAGAACCTCTAGTTAGCTGACTTCAATTTCTAGCAGCTTCAGTGTTCTGTTTTCTTTCTTCTGATTTCTGAACTAAACAGCTTCTTTCATGGACTTCTCAGATCTCTTTCCCACCCTCAGCTTTCTTGGCTACTGACTCCTGGTCCTCTGATGTTCTCACCTGGCTGCTAATGCCTCAAGTCAGGGCCTCCTAATGTGTGCTGACTCATCTCTAACTTAGGTTGAGAAACTCCAAATCCACATTTCTGTCAGATAGGGTACAAATTTTTTATTCTATGATATTCTACTATTCTACAATAGTCCCAAAGTGTTTCTTTGACCCAGGTTCCCAGAAATAACCTGCAAAGTACTTAAAACAGTCATATTAAAATTGGCTACTGGAAAACAATGCACTCTAGACATCTCTACAATTGGTATTTTTCTCTTTGAGTGCTTGCTCTTACCCCAATTCTCTCAGAATTGTCTGTGTTTAGGGTTAGGATTAGTCAGGCTTAGAAATTAGGTGCTAGACTATGAAAGAAGCGCACATAAATCATTGGCATTTCTATATATTTTCAACAAAGCCCAACAGCAAGAGATAGAAAGAGAAATTCCATTTAAAGTTACTGTAGAAATTACAAAATATTTAGGAGTTTACCTGCCAAAACAAACCCAGGAACTATATGAACACAATTACAAAATGCTTTTCACACAAATAAAGTCAGATCTAAATAACTGGAAATACATCATTTGCTTATGAGTAGGTGGAGCTAATATAATAAAAATGACAATTCTACCTAAGTTAATTTATTTATTTAGTGCCATACCAATCAAACTACTGAAAAATCATTTTTCTAGAGCTAGAAAAAATAATAGCAAGATTTATTTGGAAGAACGAAAGGTCCAGAATATCAAGGGAACTGATAAAAAGAAATGCAGCGAAAGGTGGCCTAGCCATTCCAGGTCTTCAATTGTATTATAAAGCAGCAGTAATCAAAACTATTTGGTACTGGCTAAGAAACAGAGTGGTGGATCAGTGGAATAGGTTGGGTACACAAGACACAATAGTCAATGACCATAGTAATCTACTATTTGATAAATCCAAAGACCCCAGCTTCTGGGATAAGAACTCACTATTTGACAAAAACTGCTGGGAAAACTGGAAAAGAGTATGGCAGAAACTAAGCATAGACCAAAATCTCATACCATATACCAAAATAAAGTCAAAATGGGTACATGATTTAGATATAAAGGCTGATATTATAAGCAAATGGGGAGAGCAAGGAATAGTTTACCTGTCAGATTTATGAAGAACAGAAGAATTTATGACCAAACAAGAGATAGAGAACATTATGAAATGCAAAATGGATAATTTTGATTACATTAAATTGAAAAGTTTTTCCACAAACAAAGTCAAATGCAACCAAGATTAGGAGGGAAGCAGAAAACTGGGAAAGAATTTTTATAACCAGTGTCTCTGATAAGGGCTTCTTTCTAAAATATATAGAGAATTAAGTCAAATTTATAAGAATACAAGTCATTCCCCAATTGATAAATGGTCAAAGGATATGAACAGGCAGTTTTCAGATGAAGAAACTAAAACCATCTATAGTTATATAAAAATGCTATAAATCACTATTGATTAGAGAAATGCAAATCAAAACAACTCTGAGGTACCACATCACATCTATCAGATTGGCCAACATGACAAAACAGGAAAAAGATAAATGCTGGAGAAAAAGTGTGAAAATTGGAACCCTAATGCATTGTTGATGGAGTTGTGAAATGATCCAACCATTTTGGAGAGCAATTTGGAACTATACTCAAAGGGCTATAAAAATGTGCATACCCTTTGACCCAGCAATAGCACTTCTAGGGCTATATCCCAAAGAGATCATACAAATGGGAAAAGGACCCACATGTACAAAAATCTTTATAGCAGCTCTTTCTTTGGTGGCAAAGAATTGGAAACTGAGGGGATGCCCATCAACTGGGGATGGCTGAACAAATTGTGGTATATGAATGAAATGGCATACTATTGTTTTATAAGAAATGATGACTGGGCTGACTTCAGAAAAACCTGGAAAGACTTGTATGGACTGATGCTGAGTGAAGAGAGCAGAACCAGGAGAAGGTTGTATATAGTAATAACCACATTGTGTGATGACTAACTTTGAGAGACTTAGCTCTTCTCATCAATGCAAGGATCTAAGACATCTCCAAAAGTCTCATGATGGAAAATGCTATCCACATCCAGAGAAAGAACTATGGAGTTTGAATGCAGATCAAAGCATACTATTTGCTATTTTTTTTTCTTCTATTTTGTTTTGTTTCTTCTTTCTTGTGGTTCCTCCTATTGGTTCTAATTCTTCTTACAACATGACTAATGTGAAAATATATTTAATAGGAATGTATATGTAGAGCCTATATCAGATTGCACACCATCTTGGGGAGGGAGATAGAGAGGGTAAGAAAATTTAAAACTCAAAAGCTCATGGAAGTGATTGTTGAAAACTAAAAATAAATTAATTAATCAAAAAAAATAGGAGAAGTTAGGTGCTAAGATTCTCTTTGTGTGTTTCTCACATGAATGTCTTTTCCCGCTCATTTCATTAATAAAATATTTATTTAAAAATAGGAAGTACAATCTATCTATCTATCTATCTATCTATCTATCTATCTATCTATCTATCTATCAAAGAGACTCTGAACTCAATTATAGCAAGGTCAGCTTCACTCCTCCCTCAGAGTTCTAGGGGTACCCCCTTAAGGGATTAGGAGTGACTTTTCCTAATGCTGGTAGCTCAAGCCTCCATTCCAGTGTGCTCTTACCACTGTTATCATCAGTGATTAATACCCTAATTCTATTTAACCTTGGAATTAACTGCAATTAACACTCTCATTCCCTTCAACCAAATAGCATCAATTAAGTTTTTAAAAGAATATTTACTTCAAAGCTATAGCAGAACAGAAGTTACAAATATTTTCCACCAACACCTTGCCCCACACTCTCTCCTATACCACATCAGGTCCTAGGAAGAGTGGTCTCAGACAAAAGTGCTCCTACATAGCATTTGCCCCACTAGGCTTCCTTCCAAATGTGTCATGGCCAATGGATGGAGGAGTCTGCATCCATTCATGTAGTAAGCGACATGGGCAGAGTCAAACAGGTTACTCCAGTTTTCCCTTTTCACCACCTGGCTTCTGGCAAATCCAGGTATGGACTTCCAGGCTTCTGGTGCCTTTCTCTCATGACCTTTTGACATTCACAAGGGCATAACCATATCTTATCTCCTTCACCTTAAAGCAGGAAAAAAATAGTCGAAACAGACTGAAGCAATGGAACCATGTGCTTGTTGCTGTGGGAGGAGAAGAGGGCAGAGATAAAGGCTTGAGGCCTCTTATCTCACCAAGGGCTTAGTCCTTGCTTGCTCATTTGAACACAACCAGTGGGAATGAAGACTCTCTCAGTCTTGACTTTGGTAAGTCAATGCCTTTGAATGCACCTCCCCTCTGACACACAGCCAATCAGCCACCTGACTCTTTATCACACAGATGGTGAACCAGAAACCAAAATGTCTTCACATCTTCCAAAATGCAGATGGGGATTGCATCAGTTGATCCCATTGTACAAGGTCTTAAGGACAAGAATCAATGGCTGGTCATTCGCCGGTTATATTTTTTATCTGCAGATTTTTATCCATATGCTAATTGAATTTAATTAATTTGAATTGCTCTCTACCCAATCTCTGCCCACATGGAGCTCAAATGATGCCTCCCTTTCCCTGTTTTTCTCTGTATTAACCATCCCCCCCCTCAACCTTGCAGGCACCAAAACTGGACCCAGAGCACGTCCTCTCCCTGTCCCTCAGAGAGGTGACTCGCCAATTACGCCAAGGCTCCCTGAGCCCCGAGAGTGTCCTGTGCATTTACATGGAAAAGGTGAGGGGCCTTCAGGGCTGTGAGGTCAAGAGTGAATCACCTAGCCCACCTCAGCAATCCCACCCTCCCACCGATTGACTGGATAGTCAGATCCCAAATCTCAAATGTAGGGGAATAGGTCCATAACCTCAGACTAAATCTTGGGGTGCTGCTGAGGAGTGGGGAGTTACCTCTGCATCTTGGCTGAGGCCTGCTGAAGAAAAGCTGGGAAAGGCTCCTTGAGGGAAGGAAGGCCACCTCTTAGTTCTCCCCACTTCACAGATGCCTCTCCTCCCCTCTGAACTCAGGCCCTGAAGGTGCACTGTGAGCTGAATCTGGAGCATGGTGAGGTTCAACTGCAGAAGCTGAAGACAGCCCATGGAGAAGAGGGGCCTGCTCTATGGGGTCCCTGTGAGCATCAGAGACCCTTATGATTACAGGATGAGTCCTTACAGTCAGAAAAGAGGATGAGTGGGAGCAAGAGTCAGTGGGGAACATCACCTGGGGCTTTGCACAGGGCGGTGCTTGCTAAGGGTTTGGTCAATGAATGGAGGAGGGGCCATGTGGGTGTGTGAGACCGTGATCCCAGAGAGCCAAAATAGGAGAGTGTGAGTGTGTGTGTATGTGTGTGAGTGTGAGATTGTGTATGTGTGAGTGTGTGAATGAGTGTGTGTGTGTATGTGTATGTATATGTGTGTGAGTGTGTATGTGTGAGTATATGTATATGTGTGAGTGTGTGTGTATGTGTGAGAGTGTGAGATTGTGTATGTGTGAGTGTGTGAATTGAGTGTGAGAGCATGTATGTGAGTGTGTGTGTATGTGTGAGTATGTGTATGTGTGTGCATATATGTATGTGTGTGAGTGTGTGTATGTGTGTGAGTGTGAAAGTGTGTATGTATATGTATGTATGTGTGTGTGAGTGCATGTGAGTGTGAGAGTGTGTGAGTGTATGTGAGTGAGCGTAAGAGTGTATGTGTGTATGAGTGTGTGAGTATGTATATGTGAGTGTGTGAGTGTGTGTGTGTGTGTGTGTGTGTGTGTGTGATTGAGTGACTGTGTGTGAAGGGAGGGACCTGCCCTTTGAAGCCATCTGGAGGAAAAGGCCTGAGGGCTTGCGGTCCACACTGTCATGAACATCTGTGAGTCATTTGCACGGGCTGCGGGGTCCAGAGGAGTGGGGGAGGGGGCGATGAGAAGCCCCTGGGTCTCCTGAGGGCAGGGTCAGCCAGAGCACTGATGTTTCTTCTCCTCTCGACTCTGCAGGGCCGTGATTCCACCTGCGGCGTGGCCGATTTCCTGGGGAAGCCTGCAGAGGGAGATGCCGGCATAGAGGAGGTTCTGACGAGCCAAGGAGCAGTGCCCTTCGTCAAGACCAGCCTCCCACAGACCCTGATCAGGTCCGGTAGAGGGGGAGCAGCTGGCGGGGGTGGGGTGGGGCCAGGAGGGGAAGGGGCCGCTGCTGGCCTGGGATGCGGAAGGCACAGGTCCCAACCCCGAGCTCCCGCTGGCCAAAGGAAAGCTCTGGACTCCAGGGTTTCTGAAGCCATTTTCAGCTGGGGTAATCTAGTCTAGCATTCCTTTTTGGGTGTGCTAACAAGCTTTGCTGTGCATTTGAGGTGCTTTCCTGCGCAACCATCCATCTTAATTCTGTTTGTTACCTCTATAACTATGGTCTAATGGTTTAGGTTCTACCCTCAGTACTGTTTTAATGTTCTCCTTTCTACCCCTCCCCCCCCAGCTCTCACAGTCTGGGACCCATTATATAATACGTCATATTTACTTAATAGAATTTTCTATTGTGGTTCCTACCTCTAAGGAGCTAAGTTGGTTCCCTTTATGTAGCCCAGCCTCCATCCCTGGAAGAGATGGGAAGTCCCAGGAGTAGCCCCCGAAGAACCTTGAAGGCTAAAATAGGGCTGATTCTGGAATGACTCTTAGGTGTGGGGAGGGAAGGACAAGTACAGAGCAGATCTGTGATTCACTTTTGGCTCTCTGCTCCCTTCTGCAGCTTTGACTGCAGCAACCCTATCTTTGGTGAGACCCTGCACCCCCAGAATTCAAAGAAAACCACAGGAGGCTCCACTGGAGGAGAGGGTGCCCTGTTGGCTTCTGGCAGTTCATCTTTCCAGCTTTGGCTCCGACATGGGTGGAAGCACCCATATCCCTTCTGCCTTCTGTGCTGTTTATGGCATTAAACCCACCGGCTTTCACTTCAGGTGCAGTTTTGGCTGGGACATGAGTCTCCTGTCTGAGGTATTGCGGAGTAATGGAAAGAAGATATGATTTAAAATCAAGAAATTAGTTCACAGAATTCCCCAAATCCAGAATCCAAGAAAGTTGGAAAGGGCCAACATCTAGTCCAACCTAACCAGGAAAAAAAGAATCCCCTTTAGAGCACATCTGATAAGTAGCCATTCAGCCCTTGCAGGAAGAGTTCCAGTGAGGTCCCACCAACTCTCTACACAGCTCCTTTTACTTTGGGACTGCTCAAATTGTTCAGAAGTTTTTCTTGACTTCCAGCCTCTTTGCGCATTTCCCTTCCCATCCCCACTCTCATTGCTTCTCTGTCTGCCTACTGGGACCAAACAAAACAAATCCCATTCTTCTTCCATGTGACTATTCTTTGGGTCCATCCATTTAAACAGTTTGAATGAACCTAGCCTAGCCTTCTCTATCTTTTCCACAAGAATGGCATGAATGTCTTTGCTACGTCTACATAAGCCATACCTGCTGCATCCCTTTGATCAACGAGGATAGTAAAAACATTAAAAAAAAAAAAGGAAATGGGGTTCGTCTGGCATGACTTGTTCTTGCTGAAGTCACGATGGCTTTTGGTGATCACTTCCCTTTCTAAGTGTTCTATAACCATCCCTTCAATTATATAGTCTATAATTTTACCAGCAATTCAAACCAAATTCACCAGTCACAGTTTGCAGCCTCCTTTCCCTGTCCTTTTTTGAACATTGGGACAATACTGGCTCTTCTCCAGTTTTGTGGTGCCTTTCTTGGTTTCTATAATGCTTCAAAGGGCACTAATAGTTGTGAGGGACTGTCTGATGTTGACTACTGCCAAGTAACAGTTGTGGCAAGATTGGGGTAGGAACTGGGTATTAGGAAGTAACCGGAGCTCACGCTCCCGAGGCAAGGGCTGTGCTAGGCGGAGTTGTGGTGAACTGGGATGGGCTGGATATGGAGAAGTCCTGAGGCAGTGGGCAGTGCTATGTGAGCTGCGATAAGCTGGGGAAGGAACAGGATACAAGGAAGTAGCCGGAGCACGTGCTCCTGAGGCAGGGGGCTGTGCCACGTGGGAGTGGGATGGCAGAGGACGAGTTCCCTTTGCTTAGTCCCCTCCCTAAATGCAACGTCAACCCCAGACGCCTCCTTCCTGTGTCCTTCCTGACTTCCTGGGTCACGTACCTTCCCTTTGTGTAGCACTGACCCCAGACGCCTCCTCCCGGTATCTGGGCCTGACTTCCTAGGTCACGTACTCTCTCTTTGTCTATGCACTAATCCCAGACGCCTCCTTCCTGTATCCGGTCCTAGCCTCCTGCGTCACTTCCTCTCCCTTGGTGCGCTAAACTCAGACATCCCCTTCCGGTATCTGACCCTACAATCATTGACTAGTAGGCGGGCTGAGGAGGAGGGGCTAAGTAGGTACTTAGGAATGGTCCTGGTCGGAGCACGCGTTCTCTTTGCTCCTGCTCTGTTGCTCTGGCCTTCCTGCTTGGCCTTGCTGTGATGGCCTCTGAATAAAGCTCGGGTGTTGGCACCTCCTGGTCGGCTCGTCTCTGTGTGTTTATCCAGGTAGGCCCCGAAGACTGGTAAGTATGACTCTGGCAGCCTGCTCCTTATAGGAGGAGAGTGCACGGCGCAGCCGGCACTAATAGTGACTGAGCAATCACAGACAACGATTCTTTCATTATCCCCAGTTCCTTTGGAAGAGGTGACTTGAACTCATCATGGACAACCAAGTGCACTCTTCCAATCACAATCAACAAATACTTATTAAACTCCTCCTAAGTGCCTGGCACTGGACCAAGTACTTGAATGGAAGTATAATGAATGAAATAATTTCTTCTCAATTCCTTGTTACCCATTCTTTTGGTCCTTTTGAGTCCAAAGATCATTGTCTACAGTAAGGAAAACTTCGTCAGGAGGCAGTTAGTATAGGTCATTATTGTTCCTTTCTAATATTGGTTGGTCACTGCATTAATCAGAGTTCTTAAGTTGTTTTTCTTTATAATATCTTTAGTATTGTATACATCGTTCTCCTGGTCCTGCTCACCTGACTCTGTGTCAGTTCATACAAGTTTTCCCAGGTTTCTCTGAAATCATCTCTTTCATCATTTCTTTTGGTACAGTAGTATTCCATTACTTTCAGATCTCATAGTTTGTTCAGTCGTTCCCCAACTGCTAGGCATTCCCTTAGTTTTTTGTTCTTTGTTACTACAAAAAGAACTGCTATAAATATACTTATACATAGAGAAGCCTTTCTTTTTTCTTTGATCTCCTTGGAGTATTGGTCTAATAAAGATTTTATTTATTTATTTTCAATGAACAAAATTTTACTTTCTCTCCCTCTCACCTTCCCCCTCTTTGGGAAAAAACCCCAAAACAAAACCTTTACAACAAAGCTGTATAATCAAGCAAAACAAATCTTAATATTGGTTATATAAAAAAAAATTCTCAATTTGCAATCCGAGTTCATTATCTCTCTATAAGGAGGTAGGCAGCATATTTCATTATGAGTCCTCTGGAATCATGGCTAGTTGTTGTATTTATTAGAGTTTTTAAGTCTTTCAAAAAAATTTTTGTCTCTGCAATGTTGTTAATGTGTAAATTGTTGTCTTGGTTCTGTCCATTTCACTGTGCATCAGTTCATACATGTCTTCCCATGTTTCTTTGAAACAGTCTCCGTCATTTCTTACCATATACTAGCATTCCATTCCATTCATATACCACATTTTGTTCAGCCATTCCCAAATGATGGGTACCCCCTTAGTTTCCAGCTCTTTGCTACTACAAAAAGAAAGGTGCCATAAATATTTTATACATATGGGTCCTTTTCTTCTTTCTTTGAGCTCACTGGGGCATAGAACTAATAGTGGTATCAAAGGATATGCACAGTTTATTAAAATTCAGGGCATACTTCCAAATTCTTTCTCAGATTGGTTGGACCAATTCACAGTTCCACCAAATAGCACATTAATATGCCTGTTTTCTCATGGCTCCTCCAGCATCTGTCATTTTCCTTCCCCTCCCCCCAACTGATTTACTAATCAATTAGGACAATTGCTTTAATTTGCATGCTTTTAATTGTTACAGATTTGGAGCACTTTTAAAAATATGGTTGCTGGTAGCTTGGATATCTTCCTTTGAAAAATATCTATTTATAGAGCACCAGACCTGGAGTTAGGAAGACCTGAGTTCAAATCTGGCCTCAGACACTTACTAGTTGTGTGAGCCTGGGCAAGTCACTTAACCCCAATTGCCTTAAAAAAAATGCCTATTTAGAGCAATTTGGAACTATGTTCAAAGGGCTATAAAACTATGCATACCCTTTGATCCAGCAATACCACTACTAGGTCTACATCCCAAAGAGATCATAAGAAATGGAAAAGGACCCATATGTACGAAAATATTTATAGTAGCTCTTTCAGTCGTGGCAAAGCATTGGAAATTGAGGGGATGCCCATTAATTGGGAAATGGCTGAACAAGTTGTGGCATATGAATGTTAATAGAATACCATTGTGCTATAAGAAATGATGAGCAGTTGGATTTCAGAAAAACCTGGAAAGACTTAGATGAACTGATTCTGAGTGAAGCGAGCAGAACCAGGAGAACATTGTACACAGTAACAATAACATTGTATCATGACCAACTTTGATAGACTTAGTTCTTCTCAGCAATAAAATGATCTAAGACAATTCCAAAAGACTCATGATGGAAAATGCTATTCTACATCCAGAGAAAAAATATGGAGTCTGAATGCAGATCAAAGCATACTGTTTTCTCTTTTTTTTTTCTTCTTCATGGTTTTTCCCTTTTGATTCTTCTTTCACAACATGACTAATGTGGAAATATGTTTAATATGATTATACATGTATAACCTATATCAGATTGCTTGTTGTTTTGGGGAGGGGGGAGGAAAGGGAGGGAGAGAGAAAAAATTTGGAACTCAAAATCTTATAAAAGTGAATGTTGAAAACTATCTTTACGTGTAATTTGAAAAAAATGAAATACTATTAAGTAGGAAAAAAGAAATTGTTACCCTTTTAAAAAAAAGAAAGAAAAATGCCTATTTATATTCTTTGATCATTTATATTTTGGCCATTGGGTCCTTTTCTTATAAATTTAAATCAGCTCCTCATAGAACTTGGATATGAGATGTTTGTCAGAATAACTTTCTACAAAGACATTTTTCCAGTTAATTGGAAATTAAGTAATTAATAAAAAGTAGTCATACTATTTGTTTTGAATAAGGCAAACTCTTCCAAAATCAAATTCTAATCATAGGTCATATCCCACCAACTCTCTGTGATACCTCTAAGGTCAGATTTACTTCTTTGAACCAGGCTCTCCAGTTCATCTTTCTGTTGGCCGCTCTACAGATGTAGATGTTATGAATTTATATATCCATATCCAAAGCATTGGGTTTCACTGCTAGCCCCTTTCTTGGTTTTGTTCAGTCATTCCCCCAATTGATGGACACCATCTTAGTTTCCAGTTGTTTGATGTTACAAAAAGAGTTGCTATAAATGTTTGTACATGTGGGTCCTTTTTCTCTTTCTACATTATAGATCTGCTTTATAGTATCTAACTTGGTGTCTAAGTAGGCAATTTTCTCCACCACATTCCTTTCTTTTTACTATAAAGTTCTTTGGATTAGGTGTGTAAGGCTTCAGGTATATACATACTTTCTGGCCCTTGTCAGGTACCCTCTCGTCCTGGCCAGGAGCCCATCATTCCTGCATTTTAAGCTGTGTTTCAGATACCCAAATTCTGTTTTCAGGCACCATCTTCTTAACCAGCTGTTCACTCCCCAGGTTCATCTAACCCTAACCCTTGTCTTCAAAGAAAGCAATTCCTATGCCCCTAAGATTTTCAGTTTCTTTCCCAAGACTTTGTGAACTTTAGTAATGCTTTTTATATTCCTCCTGCCGGTGTCATTTGTGTCCACATAAATTGTTAGATGTAGGTAATAGACATCTGTTCTGATGAGTCTTCAAGATTCTCTGCCACAAACTGAATATGTTCCCTAGGAAGATGGCAACAGACCTCTCTATTGTTGTTATCACGTTGACAAATGGCTGCCTCATTACTTCTGAGAAGGGGAGCGCCGACTACCACTGTTTGTTTCTTCTTCTGATCTTTACTCAAGATCATCTGACAGTACCCTTAGAGCCTTCCTCCTCCTCCTCCTCTTCTTCCTCATAAATTGGTCCAGTTAGGAAGTCTCCAAGTAGAGGCTGGTTATATGCAAGAGACTATAGAATTCCTTCCTTCCTTCCTCCCTCCCTCCCTTCTTCCTTCCATCCTTCCTTCCTTCCTTCCTTCCTTCCTTCCTTCCTTCCTTCCTTCC